TTCAAAAATTAAAGAGAATTTCAAGATGGCAGCAGCAGAGCATGAACTCATCATGGGGCACTTGGAGCATGGAGTGCTGTGTGACTGCATGGGTTGTGTGCACCTGAACTAGCCCTGTCCAGGATTAGTAGGGATTCACTAGAAGAAGGAATGGAGGAGGACATTTCAGAGAGAGGGAGCAGTGTGTGTAAAGATGGTGAAAGCAGATCCCCTGAGGAACTGCAAATATTTTTCTTTGCCTGGACATAGAGGGTGGTTGTGAGAGAGTGCCAGAAGTGAGGCTGAACATATAAGCCTGTGTCTGTTCAGAAGAGACCTCTTAATACAGAGGGACTTGGATTTTATCTTGTCAGCTCTCTGATCTTTAGATTGTGTTCTTCTAAGTATTCAGAGGAGGTTCCTCAGGGCTAGCTCTGAGCTCACAGTGGAGGCCCCATGGGCAGTGCTGGGGATGTCCCATGCCCGCTGAAAGCAGTTACATTTGACTTTATTTCTTATACAAGGCTTGTATATAATTTGCTTTTGAACACCACCATTGCTGTATGCACTGGTGACCCATTGAAGGGTTTTAAATATGAGACTGATGTTAGTAAATGTGTATTATCAGAAGATTATTTTGCAAGCAGTTTAAAGATTGTAGTGTGTAGCCAGAGATGAAAGCCCTTTGGTCTCATCCTAAGGCCTGTGTTCTTTCCCTGTTTTACTTCCTATGTAAAAGGATGAAGACAAGTTAACTCTCAGGTTGCTGGTCTCTGTACCGGTTTAGATTGTAGGACTGTTTACTGACACAAGAGAGGATTATGAGGATTATAAGGAGAAAAGTAAGCTGGCTGGCTCAGGGGTGAGCAATGAACGGTTCTCGTTTGACATGCTTAGTTTGAGGTATAAGTGGGATTTCCAGGAGGAGGTATTCATTCGGCAATTGGATGTATAGTTTGTGCTGTATATGTAGATAACCACTGCTGTCGAGTTGATTCTGACTCATAGCCACCCTATAGGACAGTAGAACTGCCCCACAGGGTTTCCAGGGAGAGGCTGGTGGATTCAAACTGCCGACCTTTTGGTTAGCAGCCATAACTCTCAACCACTGCACCACCAGGGCTCCATATATTTATATTGCTTGTGGTTGTTGAAGCCATGGGAATAGACAAGCTTGTGCAGAGTGAGGGAGCCAGAGGGATGAGGTCACAGAC